AAGCCATTTCTTGCTCGGCACTCACTCCTTTCTCCTCCTGGGATCGTCTGTCCCAGCAACTCTTCACACGCTTGGCAGACCCGGCATGAAATGTCCTGAAGCTGTGAATTAAGCAGTGAGAGGCTGGTGCTGATGCATCTAATGGCATGGAGGGCCTGGCACTCTTATCTGAAGACATCAGCGGAGAGCCAGCTTGGCTGGAAAGTTTCAAGCCATTAAACTCAAGGCTTCCTTCCATTATCGGGTTAGCATTGTTGATTAGAAACAGCCTCTTCTTTTCCTCCTGACTAGTGGAGCTCTTTAATGAAAGGGCTGCTTTCTCTGCTTCATTTAATCCAGGGGACAGGAGCAGAAGAAAAGTAACCCTTGCCTGCCTGCCTGCCTGCCTGCTTTCCCAGAAGTCAGAGCTGTGGGTTGGATGCCAGGCGGCAGCCTGGGCCAGGGAGCTGGAGTGGGGCTGTGCGTGTCTCCTGCCATTCTAGGCTACAATGAAGCTCACCCTCTTCACCGAGGCTCCTTCGAGTTGCCTTCTCTCCAGACAGGCCTGGAAGCAGCGACCTCTGAAGGAAGGGAGGCTACCTGAAAAGGTGTTTAGCAGCATCGGACACACCGTGGTCCTGAGATACTGTTGAAGGAAAAGTCTTCATCATGGTTCAGTCCAAGCTGGGAATAAACAACATGGCGACTGCTTTAGAAAGAAGGTTGCAGTTTATTGAAGAGGAGAGCCAGACAGAAAGATGGCTCTGGAAGAAAAAAGAGCAAGCACATGTTGGGTGTGGATTTTTATACCCTCTGGAGCCGTTTGTTTGGAGTTGTTCCTGTGGCATGAACTTTGACCTGTGTCTCTTTGGCATCTGTGGGTTAATCCTATTATGTCTTGTCTTAGAATTTGGGTGGGGTATATAGATTTTAGGTCTCTTTGTCTTCTTAATCTTCTAGCTGGGGGCCTCCAACCTTCCTGGATGGTTTACATCTGCATTTGTACAGAGCTGGTTTCTGCTTGGGGGAGGGAGACTTGGGGCTATTAAGAAAACTGGGCATGCTTTTCTGCCTCTTTAAGATCCATTTTGGACAAATGGTTGTCCAGTCTCTTCTTAAAACTTCCAGTGTTGGAGCATTCACCGCTTTTCCATGACTTAAGCAACTGTTGGTTCCTCCCCACTTTGTCTGATCATTCTCTAGGCAGCATCTCTTCCTCTTGTCCCTCAAGTCATTCCTACATACCATTACAATGAGTTTGTCACTAAACGAGGACCGCCTGTATATTATCTTCCTAGTGGTTCAGTACCAGGACCTTGTTTCCTGCTCTTGTCTGTTTTCCAGCAATGGAGAGAACAGATGAATATTGTACTCCCGTCTCCTTCATTTTGCTATCCTTTACAATTTCTAGCCTGGATTGTCTGCCGTGTGGAGAGTTCTTTCTCTATTCTGCAGAAGTTGGGATGATAGAACTATCTGATGGTTGGGTCTGGCATTCTACATACTCCCTTTTTAACGGCCCTGTAATCCCTTAATTCGGGGTACAAACAAGCATTTTACATAGCCTGGCAATGATTTTATGAGGCTTCATAGAAATATCTCAAAGGACGTCTTCCGAGAAATATATATATTTTTTTTAAAAAAGAAAAAACGCAGACACACAAGACTTTGAGTAGGTTTATTTACCTTATGCCCACAAAATGGATACAACAACAATTCCACACTGCTGTTGGCAGAAACCTCACCGAGCCTCTTGCCAGCATTCAGTCAGCTTAGAAAGAAACCCTGGCAGTGCCATTCTTTCTCATAGGCTCCAGCCTTAATCCTGGCGAGTGGCAGATACGCTGGCATCCAGGAGAAAGTGGCACATGGAATGAACACCCACTGACGGAGTCCCTGTATTTCTGGGCACATACCCTGCTTTCCATGGAAAAAACAGTCCTCTTTTTTTTTTTTTTTTACTAATAATAAGGACATATTTTTCCCTTTCTTCTCTCTCTTCTATTTTTTTCCAGAAATAATTTGTATCCTGTTCTTTCTTCAGGGAAGAAACATTCATAAGACAGCATTTTTAAAGTGCTTCATGCCACATTTTAAATGTATGACTGTTTTCTAAGATGTTTTGACTGTAACTAAAAATGTAAAGGATTTTTAATGAGCTGTATTCCCACTAGGACAATGAAAATGTGGCTAAAAAGCTTTATCCTTAGAAATAAATCCAATAAAATCATTCAGATTCCAGAGTCACCTTGTAGGGGACATGGATGGCATAAAATATTAATAAATAAGTAAATAAAAATAACCAAGTTCTCAATGAACTTTGTGGCCGAGAAGGAAAAGGACAAAGGCATAACAGCCAAGGCTAACAGGACATTCCTAATTCAGAAGAAGAAGAGCATGGAAGCTACAGACCCATAACCAGTTTGCCAGAATGGACTTCCAGAAGCGGCATCCACACAGAGAACCAGTTGTTCACATATTTGAATCCCACCACTACCCACTGCTTAACCATTCTCACTGTCAGGAAATTCCTCCTTATATCCAGCTGATGAGTTTCCACCCACTGCTTCTTGTCCTGCCCTCAGGTACTAAGGAGAATAAATTTACACCCTCTTCCCTGGAGTAGCCTTAGAGTATTGTCAGGGCTTCTTTCAGTCTTCTCTTTGTTAAGCTAAATATCTAGTTCATCTAGTGGTTGTTCTTCATAGGATTTAGGCTACAGGCACCTAATCTTCTTTCTTGCTCTTCTTTGCAGTCAGGGCCTTAGCATCTTTTTTGCATTGTGGTGACAAGAATTAGACACAGTACTACTCTAAGTGTGGTCTTACTAGTGTGGTATAGAGTAACATTATCATTTCTCTTGATCTCCATACTATCCCTCTGTTGATGCAACATTAGCTTTTTTGGCAGTTAAAGCACACTGTTGACTTATACCTCAGACCAGGACACCTAGTTCTCTCTCCTAAGCACAACTGTTGGACCAGGTACTTCCCAGATGCCTCAGTGTGAGCCATGGATGCTCAACAAAGGATTGTTGAGATCCGTTGTGGATCTCATGATTAATCAAAAATTTGTCTGTCTTCTGGGGAAACCATGATTTCTAAAAAAAAAATTCTAAATTTAGCAAATGAAACCATCAATGTCTTCTGGCCTTTATCATCTTTACATCAGCAGGACAGGATGCTTACCCAATAAAGAGTTGAGCTAAGTTGTCTCAGCATGTAATTCCATAAGGATTTTTTTTTTCTGGGGAAAATGCTATCATTTTCCATCTCTGTTTAATGAATCATGTGAATTATAGGAACATTTACAAATGGTTTTCTCTGCAGCCTATTAGTTTGTTTCTGTAGGGTTCTAATGGAAGACATGCCTCATTTAGAAATCTCCTTGCCCTGCAGCCATAAAGAATAAATTGTATTATTATAAGCAGTTACCTTTGAAAATGGTCTTGTAAAAAAAAAGTACATTGCATTATTGGCAAAGCAGGGGGTGGGGAGAGGAAGTATTGTCATTGTAGACCAAGATTGCTAGCAATGACTTATGTCTGCTTTTATTTTTGTGGCTGCTTGGAAGGCACCAAGCCAAGTGGCCTGTGCAATAAAAGCATTCAGCCCGCAGCCCCTTCAGCTTCTTCAGGGGTGACCCCCCCTGTACAAGGAAGTGATCCTGGAGAAGGGGAGATATTGGCTTTGGGCTACTTCTCCATGGGTGACTCTTGCCTGCTGCAGAAAGCAACGGCCAGGAATAGAAAAATGGCTTTTTTACTTGCCAGGTGATAACCGAGTCCTTCATGGCTAAGATGAATTTTCCCTGCATGATTGTTTTGCCCACAGTGCAGTAGGCACAAGAGAGTCTGCAATCCCACCCAAGTCTGGGGAGGCTTCTTTTTCACAAACAATCATGAATCCTGCATGCGGATGAAGGTGAAGGAATGAAGGGACATTGCAGGCCTCCTTAATTAGCAGAGGTCAGCTGACCGAAAGCTGTCCCAAAACTTTCCTGAATAAAAAGAGGAGGTGCCTTTGATTTTTCCTTCCTAAATGTAAAACTTTGCTTTTATCCACACTGAAACTCATTTTGTTGGATAGGGCCCATTGTTCCAGTTTGTCAAGATCTTTTTGGATCCTGAGTTTGTCTTCTGGGGTGTTGGCTATTCCTGCCGGTTTGATGTCATCTGCAAATTTGATGAGTTCCCCTTCAATTCCCTCATCTAAGTAATTGATGAAGTTATTGAAGAGTACTGGGCCTAAGATGGAACCTTGTGGTACCCAATGCTTACTTCCCTCCATGTAGATGTAGTACCATTAAGGACTACTCATTGAGTACGGTTTGCCAGCCAGCTACAGATCCATCTGGTAGTGATGTTGTCTATTCCACCTTTTTCTAGCTTACCAAGCAGTAGATTGTGGTCTACCTTATCAAATGCCTTTCTGAAGTCTAAGTATACTTCGTCCACATTATTTTTCTGGTCTATTAGTTTAGTCACTTTATCAATGGGCATCTTCCATGCCGAGCCTCGCAAATGAAACCCAGACAGGGATTTTTATGGACACTTCCAGGAAGCTCATTCAATTGCATGGCAGGAAATGACAAATTCATTAGCCCGGCTTTAACAGCCCTTGAAAAGTTTATCTGAGCTCCGAACACATGAGCAAGACTGATAGGAGGGGCTACACGGAGCTGCCACTTGGGTCTTCATGTAGCCAATTCCTTAATTTCCACAAGGGATTTATCTATGCCATTTTTTCCACACCCGTTCTTGAAAACAGATTTTTTTTTTTATCACCAACTGTTTTTAGTGTGCAGATTCAGCTGACATGGTTGAATGACAGAGTTGGTTCAACTATCGTTCGTATGGGGAAGATTGCAGCACTGCTGTAAATTGTATGAAAAAAACCCCTCTCAACTATTCTATTGTTTTATTGCTCCTTCTGCTCTGTTTTCCAATTCTAATGGAACCGGAGGAAGTTCCAAAATTAATTATGGAAGTGGCACATACAGATTGATGGGTTTCAGTCCCTTCATTTGCATCTCTTACCTTGGCAGTGGATAATTGTGTATGCGTGTGGGCTGATTAAGCACTGCAACAAAGCAATCAAGGTGATTGTATGTGTGGTTTCGTTAAGATTTTTTTAATTAACGCACGTGCAAAATATTAAAGTATCAGAGGAAAGAAAATGTTGATGCCATCATTTCTATAAAAGCATCAGCACTCACAGAGCCCCCAAAGTGATTTGCACACAGACACTTGGAGTGGTGGGGAAGGCCCGCATGGCGCAAAAGGGCTTGAAATCCGAGGAATCAGTTACAAGGAACAGTCCTAGGCAAAATTCAAAAATATAACTATATAAATATAAGTATATATTTTAAAAATGGAGTAATAGAACACCAACCTATTATAATTGCAATTCACAAAATGTATTTACATCCCCAGTAAGCTCAGATGAGGGTGATTACTCTTCAGGGCTTCATAAAGGTGGACAAGTTGGATATAAGTCTTTCTTTTTGGCTTAAGTATCTAAGAACCCTGGTGAAGCAGTGGTTAGAATGCAGTACTGCAGGCCACTTCTGCTAACTCCTGGCTTCTTGCAGTTTGGCAGTTCGAATCTCACCAGCTCAAGGTCCATCCTTCCAAGGTCAGCAAAATGAAGACCCAGATTCTTGTGGACAAGATGCTGACCCTGTAAACCACTTAGGGAGGGCTGTAAAGCACTGTGAAGTGGTATATAAGTCCCCAGACATTGCAACCGTCATATATACGTGCCCGTTACCAAGCATCCCAATTCTGATCACGTGACCATGGGGATGCTGTAATGGTGATAAGTGTGAAAAGCAGTCATGTCGCTATTTTTCAGTGCTGTTGTAGCTTCGAACAGCCACTAAACAAATGTTTATAAGTTGAGGACTACCTGTACAATCCTTCTAAAACTTAAAGGTCCATGGTGATGCAGTTGTAACTTGCCACTATCATTTATCCCTACGCAAATGATCAGGAAAAGGGACATGGCAGTAGACTCAATGAGTCCGGGTAGCTGGTTGCTCAATCACATCCCTCTTCTTGGGAGGCAGCCCTCTTCATGAGCCAGCAGGTCCACCTGGCGCTCCTTAGTTTCCATTCCTTGCAGCAGGGAACCACAAAATATTGTAGGGCTCCTCTTTGAGTCTTATGATAGGCCCAGGTAGCAATTTTGTCTCTCCTGATGCTCAGAGCACCTACCTCTTATCTCAGCCTGATCCTGTTTCTTCTGGGATCCCTTTCAGAACTTCAACCGTACGGATATTTTCTGTGACTTCCATGTTCTCAGAGGGGTCAGCAGGAAGAGAAGAATGCCTTGGGGGGGGGGGGGCTTACAGCTCTGGAAACATTCAGTTACACTTCAAAGCAGAATGTTCAACCTACTGGAATGCCTTCGGAGCCCAATAAAAATTACCACTAAATTGCAAATTTCTTTAACAGTGCAGAGGAGGAAAATTATTAAATAAAGGGAAAATAAATGCAATTTGTTTCTAGTAATTGAATTATAATTAATTAGAAATGGTATTAAATCAGGGATAGATTGACTCTGTCTTGGTCTGCTTTTCTGGGTGCAACCCTTCAGCAAAAGTTCTTGCCTTCAGATTTCCATAACCCCCCCAAAATGTAGGATTTCCCCCTAAGCTGCCAGGCTCAGTAAGCAGAGAGGCCACCTATGAGAAGCTCCCTTGTCTTGCTTGGGGGTCCCAGGGTCCCTTCCCGCAAGGTGGGCTCTCCTTTTAAAAGGGGAAGGCCCACCTCTCTTCCCCACAATCACCTTTGTTCTTCTAAGAGATGTTTCCCCATCTCTGGCTCCAGGCTCAGAGGTCAAATGGTTGATGCAACTTTGGGATCTGAAACAACAAAAATGGCAGCCGTTGATTTCTTGGAGAATGAGGTCAAGACTTTTCATGCCTCTGAAATGTGGCTCAGGGTCTCCTGAGGGAGGAGAGCGATTCGGCCACTTCAGCCCAACATAAAAAACCAGAAATCAATTACTGGGAAAGACTAGAAAAACAAAAAAATTGATCATTTTTAAAAAGTCATTTTACACTGTGTCTTGATGCACAGTGAGTGTGTGGCTCCCGAGAAAATAGATTGCTTGGTATAAATTTGCATTGAGAAAAGTTTAACGCCATTTGCCAAAGTGCAATTAAGAAATTGTTCAGCTTTGTCTTCCAGCAAGAAAGGCGAAGGATGCCAAAGGGCTCTCGGGCTGGAAAACGTACTTGTATTTTCTCATAATGGAAAAGGTAGATGAAAGAAAAAGCTCTGAGCTCAGAAATGCCAAACCACCCGTGGCTCAGAGTCCTTTCCAACAAATGAAACTGCAATTGGCCAAACACATAAATGTTCCTGGTTCTGTTAGCCCCAAATCTAAAATAAATAGAATTTACATTAATCTATAATGCTACCCTGAGACCCAGTTTGGTCTTGTGGTGAAGGCCTCACCTAGAAACCAGAAGATGGTGAGTTTTAGTCGCACCTTATGCAAAAAGCTGGCTGGGTGACTTTGGGTCAATCACCAGGAAACTGGGAGTTCTAGTCCTGTCTTAGGCACGAAAGCCAGCTGGACGAGTCTTTGCCAGTCTCCAGGAGACATGGAGCTCCAGTCCTACCTTAGCCAAGAAAGTCACTGGGTGACTGGATCAATTACCAGGGGCTGGTGAGTTCTAGTCCAGCCTTAGCTAGGAGAGCCATCTGGGTGACTTTGGGTCAGTCACTCCAACCCAACCCAACCCATCTCATAGGGTTGCTGTTGTTGTAAAGAAAGTAGTAGTAGGAGGAAGGAGTATTAGGTATGTTTGCTTCCTTGAAAAATAAAATAATAAAATAAAATAAAATGATATAACATGATAAAACAATACAATATAATAATAAAATAAAATAAAATATAAAATAATAAAATAAAATAAATAAAATACAATACAATAAAATGTAGATCTCCCCCCGATGTGCTGGCTCAGTGGGGGAAACAGAAGAGGTGGTCTCAGGCAGGACTTTTTCAGTCTCTTTTGGCTGACCAGGCAACATTTGTATAACGGGAGACCCCCCGTGTCCTTGCTAACATCTCTTCTCTCTCTGCGCCCACCTTCCCTTTTTCCTTGCTCCTTTTCATTTAATTGGTACTTCCTTAGTTCAGGAGGCGAAGGGAGGGAGGTCATCTCCCTGGGAATTCTGAGGGCTTTTTGACTTCATCCCTGCAGGCTAAAGTGTCAGTTGGTGACAGTTATCAGAGTGAAGATGCCTTCCTGGGGCTCCCGGACTCTGGGGGACCTTCCCTCTTTTTGTAGCCAACCCTTAGAGGGGTAAGTAAGGGTGAGAGATTGGGATAGGCTGAGGGTGGGGTTGAAGGCGAGAGGGTTAGAGTGAGGGTGAAAGGGGTAGGGGGAGGTTGAGGGACAGGGAGGAGAATGGTTATGGGGAAGGGGTCCTTTTTTGCATGGAAACCATAGCTCTTTGGATGTGGATTGCCTCTTATGTTCACAGCATGCGTGCATACTTGCCACTTGCACAAATGGAGATTGCTGGACTAGAAGACCTCCAAGGTCCCTTCCAGTCCTATTTTGTAGATAGAATAGAATGGTTAGAATTCTTTATTGGCCAAGTGCGATTGGACACACAAGAATTTGTTTTTGTGCATAAGCTCCCAGTGTACGTACAAGTAAGATAATCATGCACATATACAATACTGTATGAAAATAAATTGTGAAATACAACACTTCATCATAAATCATAAGATGCAACTCTTAGTGATAGAGAAACTTCCTAAGAGTGAGGACAATTCACCAGTGGAACAGCTTGCCCTCAGAAATCATGGATACTCCATCACAGGTGGCTTTTAAGAAGAGACTAGACAGCCACTTGTCCCAGATGGTATGGGTTCTCCTGCTTGAGTGGGGGGCTGGACTAGAAGACCTCCAAGGTCCCTTCTATTCTATTCTATTCTATTCTATTCTATTCTATTCTATTCTATTCTATTCTATTCTATTCTATTCTATTCTATGTCTTGTTTAGTTGCAGTTCTAACCTGATAGTTTATTTATATTAGTTTACATATAGTAGCTGATCCAGTTTTACTTTATTAATAGATTGTTACATTTTGAATAAACTTACTTGCCTTTTGTGATACTACTTTCTTTAAATGTGCTCATCTCATTTATGCATTCCCTTCTTAAGACTGCCTTCATAGCATCCCACCTTATTCTTGTTGATGTTCCATTTCTATTATTTTCTTGCAGCTGCATTGTATAATAACATAGTATTAAAATGCCAATTATAAGTAAATGGGATAATCTCTTCTAATTGAAACATAATAATCAGCAGAGCATGGTGTGATATAAGTATGGGGGCAATTTTAACCTGTTGAAAAAAAATTGAAGAAGTTTTTGATCTTCATACTTATCTATCCTAGAGTGGGATTTATATCTAGCTGAATGAAATGTGTTTCTTTGTTGTAAGATTTATAATTGTACATGAATCAATAAATCCATGACTATGCAATCCATTTTGAAATCTGTTAAACATTGCAGGTTTTAATGCAACAATTATTGAAGTCTCCTATTGTAAAATTCATAATCTTTGGTAAGTAACCAATCTGACCCTGATTAGGAACATATGTAAAAGCTAGAATTAATATCTTATGACCAAATTTCACATATATAATTATATTACCTTGCTGTTTATATGTACACTGAGAGCTATGCACCAGAGACAAATTCCTTGTGTTTCTAATCACACTTAGCCAATAAAGAATATTCTATTCTATTCTATTCTATTCTATTCTATTCTATTCTATTCTATTCTATTCTATTCTATTCTATTCTATTCCAGCACACACATATGAACAGAACAGAACAGAGTACTTTATTGGCCAAGTGTGATTAGATACACAAAGAACTTGTTTCTGGTGCATAGCTCTCAGTGTACATAATATAAACAACAAAGTAATATAATCAGTGTACATAAAAACGTACAAACAGCATGTATATGCAAACAACACGGTAATGTAAGATACCAATAGGGAAAGGCAGTACAAAAGATGAGAAGGATAATAGTAATACAGCCTTTCTACATAGGTAAATATCCTTAGATATAAGATAGTACTGTGATAATTACATGTACAGTACATATACATATTTTATATTATTTTATCTTTAATAGATAAAAATGAAAAGATGCTACATTTTTTTAGAATTCAGTAGCTTGCATGACCATTTCTAGCAGAAATGAAGGTAATTTAAAGGATTCAATAAATCAATATATCTAAAAATTATTCCTTTTTAAATTTAATTTCTTAAATTAACAGCTTTCAGAACAAGCATTTGTATCTATAAAAATGTCCAAAGCAACACTATATATATTTCTTTTCTCCCAAACCATACATTTTCTGAGAAAATAGAGAGAATATTGTTTTTCTGGAGCTGTTTCAAATTTCAAAAATCTCAAATCTTCGACTTATGTCATATATTCTACATATGTCATATAGTCACAGTCACCTGATTTTAATCTGGGGACCTGGCAACAGGTTCACACTTCTGAGAGTTGGTGTCCTACATCTTGTGATTGCCTCTTGTGACCTTCTCTGGAAATCAGTGGGGAAGGTTGCAAATCACTCTGGTAAGTTTCCTACACCTTGTACTCTTGTAGCCACTCCAAGCTCTGCCAGACTCATGCTGTGTTGGTCATGTGCACGTCCCCACACATCCCCCTCCCCCCTTCTCCCCCCCCACCGGCAGCAGCCCCTTACATGCCCTCCAGCTAAATGGTGGTGGATTTAATTGTTCTGTTGTTTATTTCTTGCTAGTTGCTTAACTGCTCTTCATTAAAATATAATTTCAAAAATCCTTCAAAAATTATCCGAAACAGTTGTCTCCAAATTCAATATGGTAACCTTTATCCTATTCCTTTCTGCTGTTCTCTTTTATTTTTCTCCAACTTGTGGATTGCTTCTCCTTTCAAATGGGCAATTCTTTTTTATGCAAAGAAGCTTATTTTAATTTAATTTAATTTTTTAATGTAAAAATCTTCCCCTTTCAGACACACAACTCTCCTTTATGTAAAACAATTCCCTAGAGTCATCTGCTTTGCAAAATTACTAATTGCCACCCTGTCTCTTTCCTCTTGTAGCTCCTTTGTTACATATTGCTTATTCTAGTCAATTAATTTCCTCTCCATTAACCTGTACCTGTCTTCCTGTTGTCCATTCTTTCACCTAAGTGGTCGAGCCTCTTAATCATTCTTTTTCTAAATCTTAACTGTGTTTGCGATAGTTATTGTAATCTTTTTTGTTTTATTTTGTTTTGTTTGTTTCTAGCTAAGGAGCCATCATTTCCCTATCAGCCAAAACAACCAGCTTGGTTGGCTACATTAATTTCACTATAAAACCATCTTCTCTTTTTTGACCAAATCGAAGACTGCAGAACTGTTTCTTTCTTACAGCCAACCATGCAGGATAGCCTGGAGTAGTTCTGAGTAATCAGGATAGCAAAATCCAACATTTTGTAACCAAGCTATACAAAGGTCTCAAGAGAAGAGATAAATTTGTACAAGAATGAAAGCTCATTGCAGCATTATTGCGGTAAGAGACACTGAAAATAACTTGTACAGCAAGAGAATGTGATGACACGACACAGCACACTATAACCTGCTACTGAATCAACAGGTTCCCTTTCCTGCAAAATATGCTGAATAATAAATTAATGACAATAATACTTCAGCAACAAGAACAAAACAAAATCAAGGGAAAATCAGAGTTAATTACGCTTAACGTGGGTCAGTCAGCATCTTGCATGAAACCAAGTTGAGGGGGATGGATAAGCCTTTAGAGAATAGACTCAAGATCCAGACTTTG